AAAGCCACTCGGGTGTCCCTGGTCTGTTGGGGGGGTCCAGCAGCTTTGCTGGACCCCCCCAGCAGACCAGGGAGACTGGGAGAAGCTTTTCTCGCCCTGGAGGACACGGGTGGCGACCCGCCGCCCGTGAGCTCCGGGGCGAGAAAAGCCCCGTTCGTAAGTCGGATCCGCGTAAGTCGGGGACTGCCTGTATTTGTAACAAAGCCACTCGGGTGTCCCTGGTCTGTTGGGGGGGTCCAGCAGCTTTGCTGGACCCCCCCAGCAGACCAGGGAGACTGGGAGAAGCTTTTCTCGCCCTGGAGGACACGGGTGGCGACCCGCCGCCCGTGAGCTCCGGGGCGAGAAAAGCCCCGTTCGTAAGTCGGATCCGCGTAAGTCGGGGACTGCCTGTATTTGTAACCATCTCTATACTATAGCAGAGATCGAAACAATTTCAAAGAAGGAATTAGAATTTTTTATTGGAATATTTTTCAGCTATTTTTCTAATGTTACAATCATAGATTAACATGAGTGTTTTTTTCTGGTGTTTGAACATGAGTTTAATGATGGGATTTTTTTTCAGAAACAGTCAGCCTCTAACTCTCTGGTTTCATTGAAGTTAATGGGAAATTACGGCTTATATGAGAAGATTTAAGAAAACAGAGTGTTTATGAAAATTCCACCCTTTAGTGTTGAAAATAGCAGTTTCTTTTTTCCCCTAGCTTTCACCTCTGTCTGAAGAAGAACAGACTGCAGCACAACAGTTAGCATGTAAAATTGTTAAAGGAACAGAGCCACCAGTGGAAGAGGTAATTTTGATTTTACATGGCTTGATTCTGCAAGCCTCTTACTCCTGAGGAATCTCTGCGAATTCAGTGGAACTATCTGTGTGAATTAGAACTGCTCAGTTGACTAGCGGTTTTCAGGCATGTGCCATGAAATAGTTATCTTTTTTCACTTTTTTCAGTTTACTGCACTAAATATTTTGTTTTGTCCCCTCTCCTCCCCTGGCCTGGAATGACTTTGTTCAAGGAACATTTTATTAAACGGTGCTATCTTTATCTTTATATGGTAGCATGTATCTTTAAAGTACAAGAGGAAGGCTAAATTGTGCTGCTTAGATCACATCTAGTATGTAAAACAAACATGGACAATACCTTGAATTCAGAAGCACAGTCTGTTCCCGTTGATCTGTTTCTTATTGCAAGAGCTCCCTCAGATAATTCAGCTATTTGCAGAGTAGCTACCTACCCTTGGGAGTTGGGGGATGAAGAGCATGATTATTTCAGTCAAATGTCTATAAATATGGACAGTTATTCTAATTTCCTGTTAAATATAAAATATACATTTCAAAACTTACTAAGTTTTAACTTCACCACATTACAATGCTGAAGCAATATAATATGAAACTAAAGATGTTGAATAACATGAAACTCAGGATTTCTGCCATAAAACCATTCCTAACACAGGCTTTTCATGGTTTGCTGATATTTGCTTTATAGATTTAGTCAAGGTCTTTGTTATAATATAACAAATGATTTTCAAGTCTAGGTTTTAATTATCATTTTAGCTTTGTCTGACTCCTTTTTCCACTGCTTTTCTGTCAATGGCACTTCACTTTCTATCCCTTCATCACCACTGTTTTGACAGCCTTTTAGTATATTTCTGCTTCAACTCCTATTTTTGCTAATCTCATCATTAATAATAATTATCAAAATTAAATCAACAATAATTATACCATCATTTGTATTACTGTAGTACCTGGGAGCTCTAATCATGAAATACTGTAGGACCCATTGACCTAGACAGTGTAGAAATGCAACAAACCCAGTGAGTTTACAGTTTAAGTAAAGCTTATCATCTTTTCCCTTTTTCTGTTTCTTTTCAAATATATTCAAAGACCCCAAACAAAATTAGGGGCTGCTCCCATTAAAGTCAGGGGAATTGGGATTAGGCCTTAAATGAATTCTGTGTGCGTTTTGTTCTTTTCAAAGGGGGATGATTTCTCTTCCTCTGTCTTAAAGGCTCTGTTTTGGTAATCCTTTCTTCTGACTAAGGAATGCTGGATGCAGCTTCCTCTAGAACAGCAGTTCCCAACCTTTTCCAGATGGGGACCCATTTTGACAATTCAGGAAGACTTGGTGACCCAAGACAATTAAAAATGGGGGTAGGAGGGATAAAAATGGGGGTAGGAGCCACCTGGGGAGACACTTGGCGACCCTTTTGAAAGGTAATGGCGACCCATATTTGGGTCCCTGCTCTAGAACCCAACAGAACTGTTGGCCCTCAGGGTAGCTTTATAATGCTTTTAAGCATCTTTCCTTGCTTTGCATGTGTAGTGTTTTCAGCCACCACCAGACTAGAGAACTGCCTGGCCTGACCTGACAGTTTTGGTGTTTTATTTCTAAACTTATTTCTTTGTAACTAGATTTCTGCATGCTGCCTGGTAGCTAGTGTGGTAACTCATTAGGAAACATACACTTAATACCTGGAAATTCTGCCATATGAGTTCCTTGGCAATTAGTTGGTAACACTCCGGCTTTGTCTAGACTGCAGGCTTCTTTTGGAAGAACCTTTTTCGGAAGAGATCTTCCAAAAAACTTCTCCCGAAAGAAAGCATCCACACACAAAAGTGCATCGAAAAAGCGATCATCTTTTTTGAAAGATAGCATCCATTCAGTGTGGATGCTATCTCACATTTAAGCTGTGATTACTATGGATGAAGTGGCCACCAGGGGACCTGTGCTTTTTCCTCTTTCCTCTTCTTTTTTCGAAAGAACTCCCTCTTCCCCGTCCACACATGCCTTTTTCCAAAAGAGCTCTTTTGGAAAAAGGCATGTGTGGACGGGGAAGAGGGAGTTCTTTCGAAAAAAGAAGAGGAAAGAGGAAAAAGCACAGGTCCCCTGGTGGCCACTTCATCCATAGTAATCACAGCTTAAATGGACATACCCTCAGTCATATTTCTATATTGGTAACTAGGTAAAAACCATAGTACTACTTCAAAATTGTAGTACAGGACATATGAAATGTGACATCATTCTGTTTTTTATTTTTAGCCACTTTGTTCACTGCCTACAGTTCCTGTTCCAGATAGGGGTAAGTGCTGACAAATCCCTTCTATTACTTGATGCTTAGAAAAGGAAGCTCTTTTAGTGAAGATTTTTTTTTTTGGGTGTGGTATGTGTACAGATAGATAGCTATATACTCCCCCACACTCATGTAACCTGAATAGTAAGATATTTGAATATATCTAGTTGAATATTTAGGACATCAATATATATATCTTAAGAGTATATTGACATTTTAAATGTATTTCATTGTGGTCCTATATTATGAAATTCAAGGTTAGCATCCAAAAAATCAACTTTTTAAATACCTATATTAGGGATGTTAAATATTGGTTAATTGAATAGTCGAGTAACCTCATGAATTGTTATTGGTTAGTCAACTATTTTATAGTCCCTGGGGGTGGGGCCAGCAGCCAGTGCGCTCCAGCCTCACTCCCGAGGAGGCCCCTGATACTCCGTGCTGCTGCCTCTGTATCAGACGTAGCAGCACAGGGTGCCAGGTGGGAGCTAGTCTGTGAGGGGAGCCAGTTTAAAAAACAGCTCCCCTTGCGGACTGTCTGCTTGTTGCTCTGTGCTGCTGCCTCTGATAGATATAGAGGCAGCAGCGCAGAGTGGCAGCAGCCCCCATCTAGGGGGGGAAATGCATGTAGTCTATAGCATTAACCTATAAGCTTTTGCTTATTGGTTAATCAACTACATTGTTACATCCCTAATCTGTACACACACACAATGAAACTGTGTGTGGACAATTCGATTTTGTGTTTTAAAAGGTGATTTTTGTTTTGGATGCTAACCTTGAGTTTCATAATATAGGGACATCCAATGAAATACACAAACAACGTTGGTGCACTCTTAAGGTATATGTGACTATATCAGGTTCAATATATATCTTACTATTACCACTAAGATTTTGTCAGTTATTTTCAGTCAAAGTCATGGACAATAAACAAACTGATAGGTCGCAGCTCTGGCTTCATCCACTCCAGGGCTGAAGCAGGAAATGTCATGAAGTCTGACTTCTATAGTCAACTCTTTTCATAGAATCATAGAATAAATAGGACTGGAAGGGACCTCGAGAGGTCATCGAGTTCAGCCCCCCGCCCTCAAGGCAGGACCAAACTCTGTCTACACCATCCCTGACAGATGTCTATCTAACCTGTTCTTAAATATCTCCAGAGAGGGAGATTCCACCACCTCCCTTGGCAATTTATTCCAATATTTGACCACCCTGACAGTTAGGAATTTTTTCTTAATTATAATACTCATTACCAAAGAATAACTAGATAAATCTGCTTCAGCTTCTGAAAGTAAGGCCTTGCAAATTGAGCTGAGAAATGAAGGCCCAATTCTTGCTGCTGGCAAAACTCCCATTCACTTGTGGGGATCAAAATTAGGCTGCAGAACTTAATGCTTGAAATAAACAGTTTATTTACTGTAGTTAAAAAAAATAAACACACAGATATGTAGTAACTAGTTTTTTACATTTGCTGGAGAGTATATACTAACATGTAAAACTGAGACTCAAGTTCAGCCCCAGGTACATCTCCTATTTACTTAATTGGGAGTTATACCAGGACTGAAACTGATCCTAAATCTGAAACTGTCCAATAGCTTAAAAAGACCATGTAAGTTTAATATGGGAGTAGTCATTGCATCCTCTAGATATTATGTATAAGGGTTTTTTCCCAGTGATCTCATGGTAGTCTCTTGTTATACCAAATTAACAGACCCATATTACGTTTCCTAGGCTAGTAGGAGCTTTGGCTGTCTGGAGTTGTTACAGAAGCCTGGGGTTGGGGAAGAGAGAGAACATTTAGGAATCTCTTTGGGTATATCTACACTGCCACCCTAGTTCGAACTAGGGTGGCTAATGTAGGCATTCGAACTTGCAAATGAAGCCCAGGATTTAAATATCCCGGGCTTTATTTGCATGTTCCCGGGCGCTGCCATTTTTAAATTCCCCATAGTTCGAACTCCTGCCCTCATTGAGTACTACTGCAATGAGGAGTAATGATAGTTCGAATTAGGAGCTTTAATTTGAACTACCTAGTCCAGGCCGCGTGTAGCCGCGGGCAGGTAGTTCGAACTATGGGGCATTTAAAAATGGCGGCGCCCGGGAACATGCAAATAAAGCCCGGGATATTTAAATCCTGGGCTTCATTTGCAAGTTCGAATGCCTACATTAGCCACCCTAATTCGAACTAGGGTGGCAGTGTAGACTTGTCCTTTTAAAGGCTCTGAAAGGAACACAGTTTGTTCCTTCTTGACTGGGAGGAAGCTATTTGGTGCTTGTCAGTCCAAGGTATCTACAGTGGGGAATGGTATAGTCTTCAGAACTCCTTTTGAAGTTTCTGCTGGAACTTGCCGGGCTGGAAAAATATGCTTCACTGTATTTTGTGTATTAAAAATTTTATTCACCCACTTCCATGATTTATTAATAAAGAAATTGTCTGTTGTGCTCAACACATCACATCACTCTAGATGATATAGTTCAAATGATGAGAACTGCACATTACTGCATAGACCCATAGTGTCCAACATGCTAGTCACTAGCCACATGTGGCTATTTGGCTGGTTGAGTGTGGCTACTTCACTATAGCAGTAGCCACTATAGTGGCTAATGCTTCAGAACTGGTTGGACACCATGGCCATAGACATTGTGATGTACTGGAGGGGTTAGTACTGCGGTGTCCAACCAGTTCTGAAGCATTAGCCACTATAGTGGCTACCACTATAGCAAACTAGCCACATTGTTCAAGCCAACTAGCCACTCTCAACCAGCTAATGGCTAGTTCGTTGGACACCACGGAGTTATAGTTAACCAGAACTTACCCTTGAAGCTATTACTGGCAAGCATTGTGTGGCTCAGATTAAAACCAAATGGAAAGTGAAGTACCACCTGTTATATTCTGACATTGCGCATGCATAGTGCTGAGCACCATAGTAATGCCAGTAAGTACATGTCACTTTCTAGCAAGAAGGATTGCTTCCAACAGTATATTCAGAACCCTAATTCATGTACCTGTGATAGTTGCTCCATGAAGAAGATGTATCTTTCACCTGTTTTCTGTGCTGAGCAAACGGTGTTGCACCAGTTTAATGTATAGGCAGTATTACATGAGCACTACTAAATATTAGAGCAATCCTAACTTTGTCTGTGTATATTTTTGAGTAATTTGTGTTTTAAAATTTGCTAGAATCACAGTTCAAACCAGTGACTAAGGAGATGTTTATGGCTGTACCAAGGACTATCAGAAGCACTGATAAATTAGTGGACCTGAATAGCTTTTACAGGGAACTGTTTAACTACTTTGTTCTAAATAAGAACAGGTAAGAATTGAAGCAGTATATGATTTGTTTTCAAGCCATTCATTTTAAATAGTTCATTGGTGTGTCTGATAAATCATAACTTAATGTAGGCTTTCTCTAAAACCAAATTGCTGATGTCATAATATTGCAGCAAGCAGTTAATTGGTTTCAAAAATTGACTTAGGCTTCTGTTGTCAACTTCTGTTAAGGCAAATGTCCCAAGATGACAAGCCATCACACCTCTTTCACTCTGTCCTTACACCTTATTTGAGTAGGGTTGGGTTAAATGAAAGTATGAATCTTTACTGATATTTTAGCAAAATTTAAACAAAGTTGCACAGAAATAAGTTGTTAAAATTAAATTAATGTTGTAGACCTTGCCTTAAATATCTACCGTATTTTCCGGCGTATAGGGCGACTGGGTGTATAAGACGACCCCCTATCTTTTTAATTAAAAGATAGGGTTTCATCTTATACCCCAGCGCCCCCCGCCTCCTTTGCTCCCGGTGTCCCTGGTCTGCTGGAGATGGTCCCGAGCAGACCAGAGGCACCGGGAGCAAAGCCGCCAGGAGCGCCTGGGCTCCCCCCCCCCCCCCGGAGCCCCCCCGCGGCTTTGAAAGCCTCGGGGGAAGCCGGCGGGGGGGCATCCCAGGCGCGCATGGGCTGCCCCCCCTCCGGAGCCCCTCCGCGCCGCCCCCCCCCCGGGGGGAAGCCGGCGGCGGGGCATCCCAGGCGCGCATGGG